AGGAGAAACCATGGCCCATTTAATAATAGTGCTAGCAGGATATGCTATATTGTGCTCCCAGTATGTGAAGATATCAAGTGTTAATGAAACAGAAAAATATGTGAGTATTTGTTGCTTGCCAAATGCCATCTAAGTACTGGGAATGCTTAGGGAGATCATGCTTCCTAAGGCATTTACAGTCTTTAGACAGGCAAAACTTTTGTTGCTTTCTCAAAAAATAAACTGTCCTTAGTAACAGCTCTAAGTTTTGGCTCTTGATGTATAACATGAATTATTTTGCAGATGTGATTGAAGTTTTACCTATACTTATCTGGTTTAAAGTATAGTTGATGTGTATGAGACTTGGACAAAAAGTGTGGACTGTAAAGTGAATGAATTCAGCTACATTTTATTTCTGTCACCATTTGGAAAATGGAGTAGGGAAGGGTTTTTTAATATGTTGCTTGGTTATTGTGTGTGAGGTGCTAATTGTGGATCAGTCATATAACGATTGATTATGCATGTTAAATCAATTTGGGTAATAATAATAGGAAACTTCAGAATGTTTTCTAGTTCTGTTTTGTTTAAAGGGATGGTGTCAGAGACTACTTGTGTTAAAATGCTGTTTAACAGTAAACTTATGGTTAATTAGATGGGTGCCATTGTAAATGTATGGCACAAATATTTAAAAAATGTGTAGCTGTTTTAATATTTCAGGGGCCATTACATGGCTTTTCAAATGTTGAAAACAGAACAAATAACTGAAAGAGAGATGGTTTCCATAGGAGTTGTAAACCCACCCAAAACAATCAGAGAGCTTTGAAGAATGATCTGAGGCAGTTATATCAGTGGGGAGCAGCTTGTAGCATTTCTGATTTCTAAATAATATTCTCCAATTAGATAAGTACAGCATTAATCATCTACATCCTACGAAAGTATCATATCAAAGGCCCGGTAGTGGTTGTCCTGGAATTTGTGTGCCTGGGGCACATATAGTAGAAATGGCGTTCATGCATTCCCAGTTGAAAAAAAAAATCCTGGGTTTATTTTATTTTGTCATATGATTTCAGGTTCTTGAGGCTGGTTGATAATACTGTGACTTATTACAGAAGCAGACTGCATTATCTATGATGGCTTCTCTCTGGCTTTTGAAATTGCATAGACTTAGTTCAATCAAATTGACTTTGATGTAATTACAGTAGTGCAAACCAAGTTAATACATCAATCATGTTAAATCACACTTGGGAAACTTTTGTATATGCATGTTTTGGAGCAGAAACTTGAAATCTATAAGAGTAGGGGCTTACCTTGTGTTGTCTCCATGAAAATCTCTCCCAATTTGTCTAAATTATAAACATCTAAATATCTCAGTAAATTGTGTTTGGCAGCTCAGTTATCCTAGAGATGCTAGCTGTATGATGCTCTTTCAGCCCAGGAAAGCAGAAGCTCAGCAGGACTTTCTTTGCAATTGTTTCTCTTGGCAGCCAGCAACAGTGGTTGCACCAGAAATAGTAACAGAAAATAGACTTTTTCTCCTGTGCGCTCAATATTCTCTTTGCTGGCACCTAAGCACAGAGGAGGAAAAAAATAACTGGAAGACATAACTGTGAAGGGAGGAGCTGGTTATAGGCACAGGGTGGGACTGGGCTGACTGGGACTAGAGTAGGACCATGGAATTTAGGGGTGGCAAAGTGCGGGACTGGTGTGTGGAGCCCAGGGCACTTGAGGATGCTGGATCTAGACCAGGGGTAGGCAAAATGCAGATTTGGCCAGTGGCTGGACTCCGTTTCCTAGCATCCCCTGCCTGTGTCACGCCAGCCGGTCTCCATGGAGACCCTAGGAGCAGCAGGGCAGTGACAGCGCAGGGCCAAGTTGTCTGTGGAGACCAGCCCAAGCAGTGCCTGGCTGGGCAGGGAGTTGCGTTGGGGCTGGGGCTGGGGCCAGGGCTGGGATTTTGTATCAGCGACAGTGTGGACCAGAGCCAGGGCAGAGCCATGATCCACTACCTGCACGCTCTGCCTGGGGCATGTGGACAGTGGATCATGGCTCTGCCCTGGCTCCTGCCTGCTCTGTCACTGTCGCAAGATCCCAGCCCTGGCCCTGGAGTAGCTCCCCACCCAGCTGCATGCCCTGCCTGCAACACTTGGGCAGGTCTCCATGGAGACCTAGGGAGCACAGGGCCATCACAACCCCATGCTGTCACGGCCCTGTCACTCCAGAGGACTCCGTGGAGACTGACTGGAGAAGGGGCTGCTGGGAAACGAAGTCTGCTGTGGGCCCAATCCAGCCTGCAGGCTGGACTTTGCCCACCCCTGGTGTAGATCAAAGACCATCTGAAAGAGCCAACAGTGCAGAAGAGTTCAGGCTGGAGAGACTGGGGTCAAAAGAGATGAGTCTCAGTTTGGGTGAGGGCAGAATGGTTTTATTCACTATCTGTGCTCCTCCCCAAACCTGAAGTATAACATAGGGTTCCTGTGTTTCAACATTTATTCTTTTGTCAGCAAATAACTGAGGCCACCAGTAGACAGTCTGTTGAAGGCCTGATGGGATCTAATCTATGACCTGAACAATCATGTCTCCTGCCGTGCCACGTGCATGTTGGAAGGCATGATTTTGAGAGGGATCAGATCCAAATTGTCATAACTGCCAGTGTAGAGGGAGCCCAGGGTCATTTTCCTGGACTTCCCTTGCAAGGTGCCTGATAGTCAACTGATTGTCAGCTGACTCCAGGGACCCATGGGGCCAGTTTGACCGCCTGTGAGGTCCCCCAAGCTGGCCAATGATCAGCTGATTGCCAGCAGACCAAGAGCCAATCTGCCGACAATCAGCTGATTGGGAGTACTCCACCGCTTGAGCCCTGGAGCACTCCAGTTCAATGATGACTGATAGATTGGGAGTACCCCATGGCTCAAGCCAAAGGGCACTCCCATTTAGCCGATCATCAGCAGGATTAGGACGAGAATGGGCTGCCTAATGCAGTCCTGCTTGCCGGACTATCAGCTGATTGTCGACCAGTGAGGACCCCACCAGCCATATATTTGATATAAGGTGCGATGTTATTACATATACACTTTGTGGCTGGATTTCTGTTTCACTGCACCATTAATAACCTGAACATGTGGCTGGGATACACTTTAAGCTTTGATTAATTAACTGATTTATTGCATCTTACATATAATATCTGCCATGAGCCTGAGAGACTTGCAAAACATGGTCTTCATCTCTGTCTAGTGGCTGGCCCACATAAGGTACCAACAGACATTTAGGGGGCGCACTTATGTCACTTTATGCAAACAACAAACTTTTGCCTATTGGCTGGGGGGACTGGAGCTTGCCTGCACTGTCCCAGGCAAGCAGGCAGGGGAACTCCAGCAGTCCCCAGGGAGGCTGCCAAACCACCTCTCTTCCCAGCCCTGTCCTTTCCCCCAGCTCCGGCTATGGCACAACTGAGCCAACAGCTGTGTGTTGCCCCATTCAACAGGTTCAGGTAGAGGGTGGGAGAAGGGGAGGTTCCCTTCCCCCATCCTTGGCTCCCGTCTCTTGACAGCAGCACGGCTCAGCTGCCAGCTTGACTTTGCTGTGGCCAGAGTTGGGGGCGTGTGGAACAGAGCCCCCTTGCCTCACATGGCTCCCCCAGCCACCCTGGCAGGGTATTGGGGGGAGTGGGCTGGGTACCCTCCTCCCAGCTCTGGCCATGGCAAATCCCATCCAGCAGCTATGTGCTGCCACTGTCAAGATGCCTGGGCAGGGGGTGGGAGAAAGGAGACCCCCCTTTCACCTCGCAGCACCCCCCCAGCTACCCTTTGGGGAGCCAAGTTGAGCCCATATGGCAAGTGGGGGCTCCCTTCCTTTTGACAGCAGCAGCCCACAGATGCTGGCAGGGATTTGCCATGGCCAGAGCTGGGGCAGGGGGCTGAGATGGAGCCTTGTCTCACGGGCCCAGCCTGGCTTCCCACAAAACCCCAGCCAGGGTAGCTGGAGAGGGCCCACAGGACAAGGGGGATCCATTCCACCATGCCCTCCCCCTCCAGCTCCAACCATGGTAAAGCCCAGCCACCAGCTGTCCTGCCCCCTCCCTACCCCACTTGCAGCCCTGGGGGTGGGGCTGTGCTGGTGAGAGCATCGGCCAGCCCCTCAAAAATGCAAAAAATTAAGCCGTGAGGGAGTCTAAATGCAAGTTCCCTAAGGCACTCTGCTCTATAGTGCCGTCAGTTAATAGCTGATTTATGAAGAGTTATTTTGTTGCATGATTGCCCATTTTAAAAGTGCTCTGCAGCCCTGAATGTGTTATATCACACCTGTAGAGTGCTTTCAGGGGCCAGATTGCACAAAAAATGTAACTTGTGCAAGCACCCATAGATTATGACAGCCCACTGCTGCTACCAGTTAGTCTTTAGCTCAGTTGGCAGAGATCTAGGCTGTGGAGTTAAGGAGTCCACCCCTGCCGGTGACTCAAGTGGATGCCAGTAATTTTATATCATGAAATTTCTGGTTTTATCAGTTTGCTTTTTTTTTTTTAGAAACTTAGGAAGTTGCACACAAAACAGACTTTTGAAAGAATATTAAAAGGATCTTGTGTATATGCATTATGATACAGCCTTTAATTATATGATCCCATAATATCCTCAGGACCCCTGCTTTATTTAGTGCATAGAGTGGACAGTGCTGTGAGGATGAATCGGGCTGTGTAGTACATGTACATCACTTCATTTTTCACAGGTTGTCATTAATTGTGGCCTACTATATGCTCAGTCTGTTACAGCTGAGGCTCTGATATGCTGAACATTTACAAATGCAACTGAAGAGACAGGAAGCTGTGTTCTGAACAAATAAAGTGCTAGTGCAAGTGAAGTTTTCTGAAAAAATCACCCCAGGAGCATCATAATTTGAGCACCCAAAATTGGTATACAGTTTTAACATCAATTTCTCTGTGAAAGGACTTCAACTCTATCAACATTATAATTAATTTATTTGTATATATTATTAAAATATATATTATTTTTTCTTGTATTGTTATGGAGATCTGCCAAGTGGTCCACATACATATCGCTTAGAAGATCTTGCCTATACCAGAAGTGGAGACAAAGGAAACTCTGCCAACATAGGTATTTTTATTTTCTAATGTATAATATAAGGTAAGATTTTCACCAGGAGTTAGTGCCAAATTACCAGTTCTGCTTTTGAAAATTTCCCCACAACCTCTGATTCTTTTCTTATTATTTAGATGCTGAAATGAGTGTATATACATTCTGTCATATCAAAAATCATCTTCTCTTAATGAAATATATTTGGCTCACTGTAACTTATTGGAATCATCGAAGAAAATCTTACCTGCTTGTTAAACTTATATAAAATACTTGTAGATCATAATATATGGTTTCAAAGACAAATACTCAAAAGTGCTTTACATAGGGTGTCTAGGCAACCTAATTTCACCTCCATTGAGGATATGCTTTATAATGTGGTCTCTTGTTTATGTGATCACATCTTTCCCTCATAAATTGTATATTGCATTTATAAAACTAAATGTTTGTGATAGTATTTGATAGTCTGAAAGTTCTTTTTACATGTAAGAAATTGTTTTGAATCACCTCTTTTGGTCCAAGTATTTTATTTCAGTGTAATTACATTTATCCTCCTCCTTGCCTTATTTATTAATTCCTTCTATTCCTTACTTCTGCATGCATCAAATGGCTCTCTTATTGTTGGAAGATGAGAGAGTGTGATGTTGAAATCTCAGTATGAATTAAAGGTGCGTTTGGAATTTGATTTGCTAACACCTGTCATGCTAAGGCTAATAAAGTAGGCTTTGTTTATTTAAAAGGAATACAACCTTTTCATCCTTGTCTATAAAATTGTTTCCTGTTCAACAATGATGGAATTTAATATTTCTGTTTAATAACTGCATGCATGTGCATGTTAGCATTATTAAACTATTAAAAATAATGGGTATGATTAAAGGACTTTCTTAAAATATACAGATAAAATATTTTAATGACATAGATGGTAAATCCATGTCCTACTAAGCTTACATTAACTTTAGGTCTACAGACACCTATATCCTAGCATAGGTCACCAGATTAGCATAAAACACTGATGTCCTTCTGCTTGATTCACCTCATTGTGAAACATCACGGGAACATCAGCTTCTCTATGGAGTTACAGAGACCTTTTTTTGGAATCTGCTATAATTTGAGAACTATACGTTCGTAGATATGTTCCCAATTCATTAAAAGAAGGAAATAACATAGATGGACCTTTTATTCCCATGATTGACTGACCCTGGGAGTGTCTAAACATTCATTAATTTGCTTTTGCTAGTACATATTAAATTTAGTAACTCTGGCCATCTATACACATGCTCTGGGGTGGGGGATAGGGAATGCCCTAATTAGAGCAGCTTGGGCTGCTCTAATGAAAGCATCCACAGTGTCACGTGTATTCAGTGTCCTGCACTTAGTGAAAGTGCCCCTGCTGCCATTTTGAAGAATGGGGATGCTGAATAATCATGATGTGATGGCTGCATGTTAATTAACACACACCAACGTGGGCTAATTAGCATGTGTTGGAGCATACATGTGGCACATGTATAGGTGCCCTCCATTGTGAGGGACTAGAAAAAGGTGCATTAACGAAAACACATTTTTGTGGCGCTTTAATGCTCATTAAAATAGGCTAATGTGCATTAAAGTGCACATGTAGACCTGCCCTCTATCAATATCCCTTTAGTGCTAATTGCAATAACTTCTTACTGCACATACTTCAAACCAGGAGTTCTGAGAAGAGGAGATTCACATTTCCTTTCTCTGTCCTTTTCCCTTTTATTCTTATCCATCATTCATTGGCATGGACAGTTACAATTAATAGCACGAAGCCTGGCAGCATTCAATCATGTCACTCGCCAAGTTAGTTTCCTGCTTAGGAATGGAAGCCTGTTGCTGTAAGTTTTGATTAAAGAGTGACCATATGTATAGCTTCAAATAACTGGATGATCTCAGGTCCATTTTGAATATTAAAATCTAATTTGTTTTAGTAATTTGTTTTAACTGACTGTCTCATGTAACAGGTGTGATAGCACGGCATCCTCTCTATTACCCATACCTAAAGAAAACTTTAACAGCTCAAGCCCTAGAAGATTACTTCCAGCATCTTTTAGAGAGAACAAACCCTGAAGAAAAGTTAATCACAAGGTATGTATGTTCCTGATTCGTCTAAATTAGCTCATTGAGGCATTATAGTGTAAGAACAATTGTAAACTATTTTAACAGAAAAGACTGACAAATGCAGATTTGCAATATTTTATGTTATCCAAGGATGCTTTACATGGTGGGATTTGTGCGGGCCGGGAGCGATCCGGGCCCTTTTTCGTGCCACGTGGGCTGTGGCCAGCAGCCCGGGCACGCTGGGTCGGAGAAAACAGGCGGCACACTAGAATTAGTCACGGACACGTAATGGTTGATTCAAGATTGTTTACTTACACCGAAGATGGTCGCGGTGTAGGCTGGACAGTTTCCCAGGCACAGCTCCGCTTAAATCCTCGTTTGAGGACTCAGACAATATTCAATCACTCCCATGGAGTTGTCGAGGCTCTGTGGATCCTTTTGTGCGCAGGGAGAGGGATATGTCGAGGATTGCGAATGGCGACGGGGAGAGGCTAGAGGCTGATCCAGAACCCTGTTGCCTGCTTGAAATGCACTGGGTCCGATAGGCTCCGCAGCGCTTAGAGTTCTTCACACAGCGTGAAGTCTCCTCCTCCTGGTGTTCGTGGAGTCCTCCAACTTGGGCAGAAACCACTCAAGCTTTTTATACG